TGTTTAACTCTCTCAAACTAGAACTGTATGCCTTGCCAATAAAGGAAAAACTATTTACTCTTTGATGTCTTGTTCTCTGCTTTTATGAAGAAACTTCGTTATAAACTAGTAGTATAAGAATAAAGAAGAATAATCCTGTCTAAGTACTTTAATTCTGATAAAAACCCAAACACGCAACATCATCTGTTTCATGATGAAAAAAAATGTGCTTATCACTGATATGAAGTAATTACTGATAATCACTTATTGCATACATTATTAATCTCTTTACAAGCAGCAGCCTGCTGATGGACCAGCCATTACAAAGTCATTAATTGGCAAACAATCCCTCAAAATGTGTTAAAATCTGGAATCTAAAGACCAAATATATCGGGCTGAATTTTGGAGGAAAATGTTCAAAAGGTACCATAGCCATACAAAATATGATGTCTTGTGGTCTGAGTATTTCACCAGGGTAAACATCTTAAAGCTTTAATGAAGAGCAGGAACAAGATTATATACAATATAAACCATATATGATTATGTCAGACAGTGTGGGGTATGGTACATTTTTTAATAACCATGAATCTACTTAAGAAGAAATAAAAAGGTAATACTACATGTTCTGTAGTGGGAAGTAACCAAGAAGTAATTTATAATAATAATAATAATAATAATCCTTATTTGTAGAGCACTTTTCAAAAACAAGTTACAAAGTGCTTTAACAAGTGTAAAGAATAATACAAAAAAACAAGATAAGAGCATGAAAAATTAATATAAAATTAGTAAAATACAATAAAATAAAAGGGATAAAATAAAGTCAAATAAGATCGGGAAAGGCTCTCCTATAAAAGTATGTTTTAAGAAGGGACTTAAAAGAGTTCACTGACTCAGCCGACCTGATTTCCTCGGGCAGGCTGTTCCAGAGCCTCGGGGCCCTGACAGCAAACGCTCTGTCCCCTTTAGTTTTCAGTCGAGACTCTGGAACAGACAACAGACCTCTGCCCGAGGATCTCAAGGTACGTGCTGGTGCGTATGGGACTAAAAGGTCAGAAATATAACAAGGCGAGAGTCCATGAAGAGCTTTAAAAGTGATCAATAGAATTTTAAAGTCAATTCTAAAACATACTGGGAGCCAGTGTAATGAAGCTAAAATAGGAGTAATGTGGTCATATTTCTTTGTTCTGGTGAAAAGCCTGGCAGCTGAGTTCTGGACAGTCTGGAGTCGATCAATAGATTTTTGGGTTAAACAGGTGAAAAGGCAGTTGCAATAATCCAGGCATGATGAGATGAAGGCGTGTAAAATGGTCTCGGTGTCCTTAAAAGTTAACATAGATCGAATTTTTGCTATATTTCTAAGTTGATAAAAACATGATTGAACAAGCTTTGTGGTGTGCTTCTCGAAATTTAAATTACTATCAAACCAAACACCAAGGTTCTTTGCCACAGGCTTAATGTGATTTACTAGGGAACCAGCAGATGGCAGTATTTGATTTGCCATCTGCTGAGACCCGATGACCAGGATTTCTGTTTTGTCTGAGTTCAGCTGGAGGAAATTATTTGACATCCATTTTTTAACTTCACAAAGGCAGTTGTTAAGTGAACTCAGCATTCCAGGGTCTGTGGATCTGACGGGCAAGTATATTTGTGTGTCATCAGCATAAATATGAAAAGAAATGCCATGTTTATGGATAATATGTCCAAGGGGAAGCAGATACAAGGAAAACAAAATGGGTCCTAAGACCGACCCCTGAGGCACACCATATTTAACTGGACAGAATGAGGAGACATAGTTGTTTACAGACACACAAAACTTCCTATTTGACAGGTAAGATGAAAACCATTCTAGGGCAGTACCAGAGATCCCCACCCAGTGCCTCAGTCTGTCTAACATGATGTTGTGATCAATGGGGTCAAAAGCAGCGCTAAGGTCCAGGAGTACCAGGACTGAGCACATGCCTTCATCAGCAGACATTAAAAGGTCATTGGTGACTTTAAGCAGGGCAGTCTCAGTGCTGTGGTACTTCCTAAAACCAGACTGAAACTTTTCAAATAATTTGTTATTTTCCAGTACAGTGAGCAGCTGTTTGGACACAATTATTTCTAGAATCTTTGCAATAAAAGGCAGTTTTGAAATTGGTCTAAAATTATGTGGAAGGGAGGGATCTAAACCAGGTTTCTTTAAAAGTGCGTTCACGCAAGCCGTTTTAAAATAATCAGGGACACAACCAGTAGATAGGGAGCTGTTGAAAACAAAGATCAAATGGGGCCCAACAGAATCTATTACTTTCAGTAAAAATTTTGTAGGTATTACATCAAGTGGGCTGGAGGACACTCTCATTTGTGATACTGTTTTTAAAAGCTCAGACAAGTCGATGGGATAAAACTGGTTAAAACTCTCTTGTTGCTGGTGAGGAACCTCTGAGTAAGAGGCCGCGGGGGTAATAGAGGCTCTGATTGACACCACCTTATTGGTAAAATAAGATAAAAACAATTCACAGTCATCATTACTTCACGCTGAGGCACAAGGAGGGGTTGGGTTTACCAGCTGATCCACAGTCTTAAACAGAAACCTGGGATTGTGTTTATGTGTAGTAATGAGTTCAGAAAAATAGTGTGTTCTCGCATCCTTAACCATGTTATTGTAGTTAATTAATAAATCCTTCAGACTGAGGTAATGGACTTGGAGACTGGATTTTTTCCATCGCGCTCTGCTTTCCTGCATTCCCTTTTTAGGCTGCGAATGCTGTCATTTCTCCAGGGTTGCTTACTAGCTTTAGACGTAGGCCTAACCTTTAGAGGAGCAGTAATATTTAGTGACGACAAGCAGATATGACTGAAGTGATCGACCAGATTGTTGGTGTTGGAATCAGACAGGTGTTGGCTTTGGCTCTGAAAGAATGCGCAAAACTTTGAAACACTTTGTTCATTAAAGATGCGAGAACACACGGCGCTTGGTGAGGCGGCATGAGTAACAGGCGAATCACAGCTAAAAACAATACATCTGTGGTCAGATATGGTCATGTCCACCAATTCCACAGAGGAAATGCTGACACCCAGGGTAAAAACCAAGTCCAGTGTATGACCACGGTTATGTGTATCCCCTTTGACATGTTGTTTGAAGTTAAAAGAAGTGGCCATATTTAAAAAGTTAGTTGCATTAACATTGTTGGGGTCATCAACATGAATATTAAAATCGCCACAAAGAACAATTCTGTCATAATTTAAAACCAGAGTAGATAAAAATTCAGGAAGTTCTGATAAAAATCCTCCAGGCGGTTTTGGGGGGCGATAAATTATAACAAATATGATAGGTTGCAGCCCTCCAACTTTAAGAGTGAGAACTTCAAAGGAGTTAAATTCATCACAGCGTACTTGATGACATTAAAAATTTTTCCTATACACGCTCACTAGCCCACCACCACGACCACTGACCCTCGGTTGACTAAAGCAATCATATTGAGGCGGACACAGTTCAGCTAGCTGGCTATAGTCATTCATTTGCAACCAGGATTCAGTTAAAAACATAAAATCTAGATTTGCAGACAAGATAAAATCATTAAAGATAAAAGTCTTACTTGAAAGTGATCTCACATTGAAGAGAGCCATTTTAAATGAGTTTGTTCTGGGTGCTGGAGTTGGTGCAGTTGTCCTAATCCTTAAGAGATTACTAATATTTCTGTGTGGGATGTGCACATTTCGGTTTACTGGTCTATGCGTGATGATGACAGGAATAGAAGTCTTTGGCACAGCGCTGGGAGCAGACGGCTTTACATGCCAGCAGGTGGAGACAGTTGTTTGTGGCAGTGAACCAGAGATCTGTTCAGTGAGCGGTGGTGTTTTAGGTACTGTACGGTTTTGAGTTACTTGCATTTTACTAGTATTTCTATTTTATGCTACTTCCTACATCTACTGCACTACGATATTGAAGGAAATCTTGTACTTTTTACTCCACTACATTTATTTGACAGCTGTAGTTATTGGGTGTTTTGCGGATTAAAAATGTTCATACAAAACGCATAATGATTTTATAAAACATATATACATATAAAGCACTGTTATAGATTGATTTACCCAAAGAATTTTAAAAAGTTTCAATTATCTACACTTTGACCAACTACAACATTAAAATTCTGCTAACATGTTTATGTATCTGTAATAGCCTAATAATAATAATAATAATAATAATAATAATAATAATAATCCAAAAACATATGTGGTGTCCGAACAATAATGCTGCGATGATGTGTTGAGAGGAAACCCCGCTTGACACTGTTCTTGATCATAAAAGTTTATTAAATAAAAGAGTTCAGCATCAATTACAAGCTCTGCAGTAGCTTGGAGAGTGACCCAGCCCGATGACCACTCTGTCTCTCTGTACATCAAACATAGCTTATATAGGATATGTTTAGGTATCTGTTAGGTACCATAGAGGGGTTTGAGTCTACAAAGTAAAAGGTCAAACCCACAGAAGGGTACAGTACTAACTTGAGGTAACAAAACAAGGGGTTAGAGGTCAAATTCTATAGAAGGGTTCAGTCCCTACATAACCACCAATCACTGCTCTCCCGTAGAAGGTCACTGACCCTCTGTCTTGCTGCTACAGTGCTATTTTGAACTGTTATGAGTCAAATGCATAGGTATTGGATACTACACATAATATAACACTTTGAAAAGTGGGTGGTGATGGTGCATAGATAAGATGCTTGCCTTTGGTGGGGGAGACCTGGGTTCGATTCCCACTGTAAGACATACACCGTTGCTGTAATGAAAAGTGTTAGACAGTTATGAAGACAGTTCTTCATAATTAAACATTCTCAATGTGGGACTTACTTGTATTTGATTATTTTTTTCCCCTTTGTGGTATTGCAACATTTACTTACCACTACTACATTTACTATTTATTCCTACCAGTGATTCTAAATTAAAAGTAATTTATACAATGGGTGGGGGCGGGGCTTCGTGCGAATGAGCGGACCCTCTTCTCTGATTCGTCAGCCTTCCTGCCAATCATCCTTACACTCTTCTTACGCCGGGGCTGTCGGTCAAGAGGCGCACGAGCAACTGCAGGTGCAAAGCTGGGCATTGGGCTAGGCGCTGCTGCGAAGCTGAGGACAAAACACACATTTCATGGTAAACCCTGCGCTTATTTGTTATAGCGGGACCGTATTAAGTCTAACAGTTGCAACGGATAGCATGCGTTTTATTTGTCGCTTGTCATATCCTGGATTTAGACTGTAAATTTAGTCGTAAATAAGGAAGAGTAACCTTCATTTGACATAGCTGGGATGCTTAGCTAGCTGCTGCCACCACTTAATACTGGTAACGGTCTGCTGTGTTAGCGTTAAAGGTAGCGATGCTAGCCTAATTGTACGCATTTTCAATGGCTAAAAACTGAATTGAAACTGTATTTACTCAATATATTTTTTCATTTGATCTTTATTTTAGGTGGCAAGTAGCATAACAAACATAATGCATAACAAAACACTTGTAATTATAGATTTTTCTCCAGCTAACGTGGACCAGACTGACCATTTCAGGCAGCTAACTGTTAACGTTACATATTATCACTAGCAAGCTAACGCCAGATAAGCTCTGCTGTGGATAGTGGATGGCTGGTTTGTGCAGTTTAAATTGGGAGCGTATTATGTTCAGAAAAAGCCAGAGGGCGTTACAGGCGTTGACAGTTGACAGGAGTTTACTACAAGGCAAATTCTGGTCAGCCATATGGTCATTCATAACTGGCTGGCCAGCGTAACGTTAGCCTTTCACAGAGGTGCCCTGCCCTCCTGGATGGGAAAAGATAGTCAGTTTAGCTGATGCTTAGCCTGCTAAGCCCCGATACTTCCGTCCTCTTATCTTTCGTGGGGCTGAGGTGTGTGTGCCTTGCCTGAACAGTATTATTGACATGAAGTGGAAACACTCAAGGCTGTGTGAGGGTATTGGCTGGTTGTATTTACACAGCCTCTTGGCGAAACGTCTGCGTCATTTTATTAACGTTACCTTGTAAAGTTATGAGACTGTTTGGGAACCATGTGTAGTGTAACCTGGTCCCATGCAGAAGACTACATTAACATTACTTAAACCCCTCACGTGTTTATATTGTATACACAAGGCTGTTTTAAAATGGAGTACAATACAGGAATACAGATTGATTTTAGTCCTGTCTGTCTGAAGAATGACCTATATCTCAGTTTTCTGTGCATTAGTCTGTTGGATCCTATTCAGATGGGCTACACAATGGTCTGTTGTTAGGAGAAGAGCAAACCACCCAGAAATAGTCATTCCAGTAAATGAGATATTTGACAGCTGCCAGGCGCTCTTGATACATGCTCTCTGTCTTGAAGAAAGTGTGAAAATGCTATTCATTACGTGAGACTCTATTCATTAGTTTCCCCTGGCTTGTCTTACATCTTTTAACCATCCACAGAATTGTTGAAATATTTTATTTGAATAATTTAAGGACTTTCTGTTGTTTTGTCTGCATGTGTTTAATATCTCTGTGGTTTGAAGGTGTTGAATATAGTATTGTTTATAGCTCAGGCAAGGGACACCTAAATTTGTTGTGTCAGTCTAAAAGTAGCTTCAGAGGATGTATCTAGGTGATATCAGAGGTTTGATCTTGCTTATCTCTGTGTCAGCAGTTTCCCTTCTCAAGTGTGTTTCTTGAGTGTGCTTACAATGTGGTTTGTAAATGTATTGATCTAATAAATGGTTTAGTATCTACAGACCAATTGAAACAAATTCAGTATGAATAAAAACTAATTGACAAATGGTGTGTTATCTGTTATATATTCTAAACCTGAAAAGTGATATTTTATGAAACGGGTAAAGAAGCAGGATTTTACATGTTTCTTTTTCATTTTTACCAGTTATCTGCACCAAATGTGTGGCAGAGGGCTCGACACAATGTCATGAAAACAGTGCCTGCACAATCTGATGGAAACAAATACAACAGCTCTTCCTTTGTACATTTATATAACGTTTAGTTTTTGCAGACACTGTCAGAGAGGCTTTGATTCAACACTGTTTGTGGTGGAGTTGTATCGTTTTATATTGTGAGGGGTTTCTATTATTTGGTCCAGCCCCCATAGATAAGAACAGACTGATTCTTCTGACTGATTTAATATGCAATCTCAATCCTTTCCTAGATGGCGTCTGCAAATGCCACATACGGCCAGAAGGAGTCCTCGGACCAGAACTTTGATTATATGTTTAAAATCCTCATCATTGGTAACAGCAGCGTAGGAAAGACTTCCTTCCTTTTCCGCTATGCAGACGACTCATTCACGCCAGCCTTTGTCAGCACAGTGGGCATCGACTTCAAGGTCAAGACCATCTACAGGAACGACAAGAGGATAAAGCTGCAGATCTGGGTGAGGAAGCGAACACTTACTTGCATGCACATGTGCTGAGTCTGTCAGGTACAGATTGTCTAGTGGTTCCCAGAGCAGGTTGAGTGTTGGATGAGGGTCACAAGGAAAAAAAAAAAAACCCATGAGAAATAGTTTTGGGGAGACAGTGAATCACGATCAACCCCAGGATTTTTTTCTGAACTCCTTTTAAAAGTTGTGAAAAGGAATTGAAAACTCATCTTGCTTTGCTTAGTGCGGCCTTTTGTTTAATCAGTGTTCTGCATCTGGCAGCGCTGTGTTATCTAGAGTCCGATACCACAGAAGAAGTAAGGGTGTAACAGGTAGAAAAGCAAATGGCACACACTTAACACATAACAGATTTCGCAATCAGCGTTGTCTCCAATCTGATGTGTATATTTCTCTCCATAATACAGCGGTGCAGTGCACACTCAGCGTAAAATAGACGTGGTAATAATGGTAGAACTGTTTTGTGGCAGAAGTGTTTTCACAGGATTCAAACAGTCTTTGTTCATCTCAGTGATCAATATACTGAAATACAAATGCAGGTTTCAACAACAGTGACATCACTGAAACAGTATTTAAGGCTGCGACTAAAAGATTATTTTCATTATCAAGTAATCTGCTGGTTATTTTCTCAAATAATGGTTTAGTCTATAAAATGTCAGAAAATGTCCACTCCAGTATCACATAGTCTAAAGGGACGTCTTCAAATGTTTGTCCAGTCTGCAGTCAAACACAGCTGAACTAAAGCGGTCTGTGTTATCGTGTATCTCTAATGATTACCAGCTGTTGAAATGGTCACCAGAATCCCTTAATCTGCTGTGCAATGGCAGTACCCTTGAAGTATACTTAACATGAGCCATAAGGCCTGACCCTGGGACCAACTGCTTATTACATGCGACACCAGAGGAATACCTAATGCTCATGGGAGTTTGGCTGAATGTTAAACTTCGGCAATCATCGAGACAAGAAAATATCCATCGTTCCCAATGCTCATTTAATCCTATATATACGTGACAATGTTTACACCACAACCTGAGGAAGATGGAAACTTTGTCATGTCCATGCGACCGTGAGTGTGCAGGTGTGTTTTTTTTCTAGTATGTTTTCATCTATCCTGCTTTGATGATGACAAATACTCAAGAATAATTCCCCATTTAAAACCATGGTGTTCGTGTTTGTTTAGGACACTGCTGGCCAGGAGCGCTACAGGACAATCACCACAGCTTACTACAGGGGAGCCATGGGCTTCATCCTTATGTATGACATCACCAACGAGGACTCCTTCAACGCCGTTCAAGACTGGTGAGGGATGCCTGACTATGCATGTCTGCGTATTCAATGGTGGTAACTCAACAACCTTTAATCTGATATCTTTAATGTTGTTCAACTTTGCTGTTTGTGACCACAATGGTGGGACTAGACACGTTGTGGACAGGGCAACCACGCGAGTGCTCAGGAGAGTCAGACAGGTTTCAAACAAGTTCATGGTTTAATCTAGTTATCAAGCACTTGTGAAACAAGTGTACTGACAAATGAAAGTATAATGTCTAAAATTGTCATTTTGCTTTGTTAAATAGCATGTTTTTACACTTCTGGAAGTATCAAACTTGAATCAGAAAGTAACTAAGCAAGAGATGTTTGAATCAGATGGTTTATATTTTTAATTTCATTAACGTTCACTTTGTTTTCTTATCCAAATTTAGATAATTATAAAAATTGACTTGTTACAAACATGTCTGGTCACTTGTTTACGCTATTTTCTGTTTAGAAGCTGTTACAAGTGGCTTTGCCATTTTTCCCTATCTTGAAATGAAATTTGTCATTTGAATGTCACATTATAACCAGTTGGAATGATAGCTGTCAGTTCTGATGGAGTACTGTGTGCCTCCTCCTCTGGTGGGAGGCTTTAACACTAGACTACATGTTGCTCAAACACACTGCGTAAACATTCAGCACCTTCTCTGTGCATTTCCCACAAACAGCATCTCCGTACTTGAGGCATTTGTAGAACGTTTTATTGTGTTTGCACTGCGTCTCCACCATGCAGGTCATTCTCCTGCACTCTTAGAAGAAGAATAAGATACTTTATTGTCACATACATGCATCTCTGCATTTAACCCATCCCTCGAGAGCAGTGGGCAGCCGCTGTGCAGCGAACGGGGACCAACTCCAGATTTTGTGTCAGTGTCTGGTCAATGCACTGTCCGAAGAAACCGAACATGTTTTTGATGGTGGGGGAAACCGAAGCACCCGGAGGAAACCCACGCAGACACGGGGAGAACATGAAAACTCCACACAGAAAGGCTGGGACAACCGGGGTTTGAAGCCACAACCTTCTTGCTGTGAGGCCACAGTACTGTCCACTGGACCACCGTGGCGCTCTGCATTGTGAAGGGCACGTCAGCGGCACAATGGCTCTTTTGATGACATCCACTCAGTGCCGTTGTAGTTATATTCTAAACACAGTCTTGAATTTAAATGCAGCATACACTTTATTGACTATTGCGTTTTATAGGCCTATTTATTAATAATAATAATGTAGAATCTGAGGTGTTATGTAGCAAAAGAATTCTAATGATCACTTCTGCTGAACAATAAACTAAAAACAAATGCTCCACAGATCAAAAAACACATGAGAGAGCAAGACTATAGACTGGTTCATAAATGTTAATAGCCTACATTTGATAAACATAGGCCCATTATCTATCGCATTAATTACTAGTGGTTTGAAAAAAGAGAGGATATCTACTGCAGAATTTGTTTTAATGATCATGCAACCAAAAGTTATCAACCTATACAGCATTGCTGTATTGGCTAATGAAAATTAATGCACATGGCAGTGTTTATGCATTTTTAGCTCTTGCAAGTGGATGGCTGTCAGAGGATGACCCATCAGATGCAGAATCAACACATCGCTCAGTCCTGAAATCTCCACTCACTGCATTGAGCAAGTCTAATGCCTATTTTGTTGTAGACAAAAGGTGTTGGCAATAGCAAAAAATTATGTTTATCTAAACACTATAGCCCGAAAATGACTGGAAATTTTACCTGCTGGCAAATACAGGTATAAATTAATTTTTAACAATGGTTCTAAAGATAACATTAACATCTTAAACAAGATGCTGGTGAGATTCAATCAGTCAATACAGCTCAACACCCTGTACTGTGCTAACAGGTCTACCCAGATCAAGACATACTCATGGGACAACGCCCAGGTCCTCTTGGTGGGGAACAAGTGTGATATGGAGGATGAACGAGTGGTGGCTGCAGAGAGGGGCCGGCAGCTGTCAGAACAGCTGGGTAAGTCAACTAGTGTGATATCTGGTGTTTTTCAGCTATTGGTTTATCTCCCTCTCCTGGGAGCATTAGTGAAAAGTATGCTGTTTATAATCATGAACTATTATTCATAAAGTTTGTTCAGATGGTCAGATATTGATTCAACTGTGTTCATCTCTTTCAAAGTCCTCTTCTGTAGTTCACCTACTATGTGTCATCATTAGACTTTTTAGCTTGGCACATTAGATCATTTTCACTGCGTTTGAAACTGATGTTTCAACAATTCAGGCTGACTATAAATCAAAGGCAACTATGCCAATGAGCCACACTAACACGAGTCCAAACTAGTATCATGTTAGTTTTAAAAAAGCTAGGTGTTATTTTTCTGCTCTTCCTGTTGAAACATGTAACATCAAAAACATGTTTGGGGAGTGATCTGAGTGGTCAGACTGAGTCATAGCATCATTTGCAATTTGACTGTAATTAGACTTAATTTCAATCCATTTATGAAAAAGGTTTGAGTATGATCTGAAAAGTTAAACTGAGTTGTTTTTAAGACTTATGAATAGATTTCATTTAGAAATACTTACACAAATATGATGGGAAGATTAATGAGGTAGATTAACTCGATAAGCTTCATATTGGAACAATAAGCGTACCCATATCCTCTCTGCCTCTGCTGCCCCTCCTGACAGGTTTTGAATACTTTGAAGCGAGTGCTAAAGATAACATTAACGTGAAGCAGACCTTCGAGCGGCTGGTGGACATCATCTGCGAGAGGATGACGGAGAGTCTGGACAACAATGACCCGACCGTCACTGGAGCTAAACAGGGGCCACAGCTCAACGAGCAGCCTCAGAGGTCCCATCAGGATTGTGCATGCTAAACATGACCCACCCCCCCCCCACCCCCCACCACACGCACACACGCACACACGCACACGCACACACGCACACATGCACACATGCACACACTGTCATAAAATCCACACATGCTGTATTTTCAGTTAGTCTCTCTCTTTCTTTTTCTACGCACATACACGAGTATTACACACAAACACTGTCATACAGAGGCACACAACCTGGCTGCTTAGATTCTCAAACCCTCTATCTACATAAAGAGCTCCGCCCACGTGACCGGTTCTCCCCAAAGATTTGGCATTTTCTGAAAAAGCATCTTAAAGTGTTTGTTCATTTCAGTAATACAGAGATTATGTGATAGTGCTAAATTAGAGGGGTGAAGGGGTACAATCCCAAGTTGTCTTTCTTTCTCACTTGCACACAAACACACACTACTTTTCTCTTCTATGTACAGATTTATAAAAGGCCAGTCAAGGCTAAGACTCCAATGGGTTTTACTCTAAAAGGCCTTGTAGGTTGCCTGATTCTGGTCTGGCATCAGGACATGAGACAGCGATTTCTCAGTTAAAAAGCTATCGATCCAATGAGTGTCGCTGGGGGAATAATGATTAGCCAATCAGTACATAACAGGGTAATAGTAATAACAAGAATGGTGACTGCCATAGAGAAGATAGAGGCTGTTCTAATTTGATTGATTGAAGCTTGAAATGGAGCGTAACAAGTTGACAGCTCAGTCTGATCAGGCAGCTGTGAAGGAGGAATGTTGGAGGAATCCAACTCACACTCAGCATTAACAACTCAAAGCTAAGTGGATGCAAATGATTTAAAATTGTTTAACTTTTAGTCCCGTTGAAAATATGTTTGTTGCTGTGGATAGAGTTGCTGGGGGGGGTGGTTGTTGTTTTTTTTTTATGTCTTTGACTTGGTTGGGTGTGGTTTTGAGCATGTGAAATCACCGGTCCTTCCCAGTGTTGTGATTGAGTTTCTACAGATAATTACGGTCCTTAAGTTTAGTTTGACGTCCATTTAAAAGTTGTTTTTCTTTTAATTTTAGGAATGAACATAACAATAGCAAAGGTCATGCACATCAGTTTGCTAGTCAGTTCTCATAATAATTTGTTTATATGTCAGGAGCTGCATCACCTCTGGAGGTTGCTTGATTTTAAATTCTTAGTGTTGTTTTTGTTTTTTACTGTTTTGTATTTTTAAGACATATGACAGAATAAAAGAATATGGGATATCATTCACCTCATGGGGAAGAGTGTATAAATGTTTAAAAGTTAAATATATGCATTTTATAAAAAAAAAAAAATATATATATATATTTATTTTGGATTCCAACCTGGGCTTAAGTGAGAAGTGCATGTGGTTGATGGTTTTTAACCGATTCTGGTTGCTGGATGGTTTTTTATTTTTATGAGCTGAATTTAAACCCCGTCTGTCCTACAGTTTCAGTACTTGGAGGTAGCAAATGCAGCTCAAGGTTTCACTTGTGAAGCCCATGGCCCCTTCTCATTGTATTAACTTTCTTTCACTGTGTACTGCGTACAACGTGCAACATGCACTCACTAGAAAGGCATGTGATTCAGTGTGAGCACTGGTATACCAGAGACCTGCCATCTTTATCAACTACCAGATAAGTCTCTTATGTCGCCTATGTAGATTATATTTTCATCTTTACTTTTGGGAGGAACTGGATGTTTTTAAGCATGTGAATACTGAGTTTTATTTCTCTCTCTCTGATGCTAAGGTTAGGGAGGTTGTCTGCTCATGTACAGTACAAAACCTTCTGTATGTCATGCATTCACAGATAAGCTGAGGCATGCTAAAATATTTTCAAAATGTAACTTATTTATTTTGTATTACTTATAACTTTATTTATTTTTGAGATCATGTTCTTCCTGTAGATTATGCATCACAATCTGCACTCTACATTTTGAGATGTTCAGTAGTATCCAATGGCTTAAACTGTCCCAGCTTTTAAATGAAAATATATTTGTGTTTACAGTGAATATAAAGCTTAAGATGCTTCCTCAAGAGGAAAGTTAAACATTCCAGTGTGAGAGTCTCTTATCATGTCAACTGTGGGAAGTTTGTTTGTCTTTTGATATCAGTTATGTAACATTTAAGACTTGGTAGTCTAAAAGCAGACTGTTCTCACAGCGCAATAGCAATTATTTATCTCCATATCCAAATATCAGCAACATACAACCCTGGTGAAGGTTTGTAGCTCCATACTGTACAAGTATAGTATAGCACCCTAATATAGTATGTATAGTTTGTATAAAGGGAATCTTAATTGTTCTTTCCAAAGAGATCGCGATCCTACATTTAGAGCCAAAAAGAGCTCTTGTTTGTGTCTGCATTTGTTAGACTTGCACTAACAAGCTAGTCTGATAGTGTTTTCTTACTCTGTGCAGTAGCTTCAAAAAGGGAAAATGTTTTGGAAGGAAACTGAATACTCTGAACACTTCATTAAAGTAGTAATTGTTACTGCATTTGTTCACTTTTGACATGCTTGTTGATTTTTGTTACTTTTATTTATTGTGTTTTGCTACAGCTGTAAACTTACAGGTGACTTAGGAACACGTATCAATCCTGTTCAACTCTCATCCTCTTCCTCCTTCCCTGTCATAAATGACCCTTGTAAATAGGAGTTTTCTGCCCGTCGGGTATTAGTTGTGTGAATTGTGCTGTAATTCTGTAATGCCAGATTTGCTATAATGAGGAATAAATAAACAAATTCTAAAAGCTGGAGTTTTGTGTTGGTTCAGTTATTCTCAAAGGTCAGTGATTTACAAGAAGTGTACATGTGATATTTCAGAAAGGTTTGGAGTAGGTTTTACTCTACCCAGCAGAGGGCATAATGCTGCAATAATGTCTTGTTTTCTACCCTCAGAGTTGTTTGACCATCTATGGTTTGGTTTTGCTTCTCTACTGCACTTAATACAACACCCACAGTGTCAACTGTATCAGAGAAGATAAATGTTATGGCAAGAATTTATATATTAGCCTGTTCTTGCAAATGTTCATTCTAACTCTAAAGCAAGCAGAGCCTCCCCTCTTAGAATCAAAACACATGAGCTTTAGTAATGTAGTGAATTTAATAAATGTCAGGTAGAGACTTTAAAGTCCATTACACATGGATACATAGGGTTTCTCAGCACGTACACATACATTCATGGAAGTGGCGACTGGAGAACTACACAGCAGCCAACACAAGGAAAAATACAATGGTTAAAAGCAACAAGACATGCAGTGTTCATTTTTGCACAAGGAAAATAAAGGAACAACAAGACGTAAGACCATTATGTAAAATAAGAAATGTTTCAGTAAATAAAATATATATTTGTCATTGCTAAGTGCTTGTAAACAAGTAAGGCATTATATTACACGGTGGATGACAGCACTTGGTGACACCCTGGTGTTTGGTTGCACTTTTGTTGAGATTGTCCAGCTTACACACAGATAAATGCTATCCTACACCAGTCCACTGGATAGCGGTTTGCTACATGGCTTCCCAGAAATTAGGGCAACAAAATAAGTGTTTGCTGCACAACACCGCCAGATTTTCAGGAATCAGGAGAGGCTGCAGCCTATGCTGCTGGTTAACTGGTCGTTTCATCCAGTAGGCTACACAGCCCTCATCGAGGCCTGTTCATCTCTACACAGTGCAGTGCAGCGCAGATTCTCAGTTCCAGGCCTTATCTGAAGTGTGCATTTACAATGGCCTCATATCAAGTCTCTGATAAGGATTGTAGGTTACAAAATGTTCCTCATAATACAGGCCTGTATGCTCAGAGCATTTTTAGAGTTGTAAAAAAACACGAAGAGCACCATTACTGGGATCTAGTAAGCCTGGACCTGGTTTGGCAAAAGCTGGCATCCGCTGCTGACATGGTTCATCACCTTCTGCTTCAGCTGGGCCACTTGCTCCCTGAGGACGCTGGCTGTGGAGGCCAGCTCGGTATTCTGCGTTTTCAGACTCTTGACCTTGTCCTCCAACCGAGAGATCCTCTCTAGTTTTCTTTTGCGGCATTTGGAAGCGGCTATCCTGTTCCGCAGCTTTTTCCTCTCCGCCTTGATGCGCTCCTGGTTGTCCATGTCAATGGGAGACAGAGGGGGGCTGTCCCCAAAGCTTTGCATGTCTGGTACCGTCTGAGGCTCGTCCTTCACCAAACCGGCAGACTGGAGTCGTGACAGAGCGGCTGCAGCAGCCGCCTGTTGCTGCGCGCTGGCCAGATGAGACGGAGGCGGCGGGAAGGGAATGGTGTCCGTGGAGTAGTTGATGGAGGAGGCTCCGAGCGGACTGGCCGCATAGCCGTTCAATGTTGTATATACAGGGAGGTCTGACGTCTGAAGCCCGGCGGACCCGACTGCATTGGATGATCCGAGTAGCTCCAATCTATCCACGGAGACGCACCCCGCCTCGCTCAGCTGGTTCTGCTTGTGCAGATCCTCCAGTGCCTTGACGAAACCTTCCGCGAACTCTTGCTCGTCGCTGGCTGACTTCGGGTAGAGGAAATGGGAGGCCGGGTTGGTGGTGGTGACCAGACCGTTTGACTGGATGATAAGGCGCTCCAGGTCCGGGGAGGTTAGTTTCAAGAGTCCCAAGTCTGGGGAGTTGAGAAGTCCATCTGTGTCTCGGAGCGGGTTTGATTTGAGCTCGGAGTTCTGGTCGTCCAGGTTCAGATTAATTTCCTTCTTCATCATCGTGCTCTGGGAGTAGATGCTGGAGACCCTCGGATTATTCACCACGGTGCCTGGGTAGAGGGTTGTTTCCATTCTACACCCTCACATGAGGGAGTGTTGAGCGTTACGCATTAACGATTGCTGAACAGTCACATCCAAACATGAGGAAATCAGCTGATCCTTATTTATGTGGGATCCCGTTTCCTTATTCCCTTCTTGTGTATCAGTCACTCTATCAGTCGACCACTTGAGCGCTTATCCCTGAGGGCTCTGATGTTTCTCTACTGCGCGCGAACGATATTGTCTTTTCCCGATGGCACGACTGCTATGCGCTGCGCCAGACCTTGCTCGCTTTCTAGCCCTAAAAATTCCATTATGTCACTCCAGAGCGCGGAGATTGGCCCAAAATGACGTTGGTTTCCGGTTCAATTTGAATAAGGGGCCGAGTCGGTCTTTATTGCCATGGAGACTTTAGGTAAACTACAAACAGTGCAATGCATTGTGGTTTGATGTCATAGCATAAAAAAACGCAGGGTCGCCAAAAGAGAGCAGAGACTGGGCGGGGAAGGTGTAAGAGGCGAAGGCTACAGAAAGGAAGAACAGAGGAACAGGCCTTAGAGAAAATATTCTTTCAACTCAGCCTGAGGCAGTTTTAAAAGACTTCAAGAATAGAATAGCTTTAGACAGTGTAACATTTATTCCACAAAAGTATTAACAAAGTGTATATTGTAGCCTACAATTCCATGACAGATACTCCATAGGATCCTTGCTATTCTCAAACTGGAATAGAATAGAATAGATAAGGGTCGGACAAACTATAATCATAATTTGGTTTTAGGCCTATATGTGTTCAAGTTTAAACTGAATTCAATTTTTTGAGATTTATAACACTAACCATGCCAATTCCAGCCAGAATCAATGGTCATATTCAACCCTCACGCCAGACCGAGAGAGAGACCTGAAAGGAAGTGTTACAACATCTTAGAGTGTTCTGAAAGTGTTTCTGGGGAAATTGAGCATGGACTGGAAAAGGGAAGGAAACAGTGACAGTAGAATGAGGAAACCATGTGTTTTCTGTGATTTAAAGTGGAATGTGGAAAGGTTAACATTCTGACATGTCCATCAGTGGCTGCCGAAATACAAACACAGTGTTTTGATAGTTTTAATGGCTGTGTGGCTGGTGGATCTTGAGCTACCCTCATGCAATTCGTTTCAAAATAGGAACACATATTTTTAGTAGCCTAATCATAACAATGAAACACATAGCTGTGTTAAACACATGCAGCCATTTTATTTTTATTAAAATGAAGAAATAAATAATTTAGATTCATGCAGAAGTCTATAAATGATTGATGCACTTCATCCAAGAACATCCATTTTAAAGTGTCTCCTATTTAAATGGCTAGTAGAATAGAATAGAAAATAATAGGGTGTTATAGAATATAATACAATAGAGAGTAAAAGAGACAAATACAGTATACATCCAACATACATTATATAAGGCACTGAGCCTGGTCCTGTGGTGGAAACTGTAGAACACTGATTCCACCCATTTGCTGCGAGGACGTCAGCAGACTGTCTGCATCAGCACCAAAGAGCAGAGAGGGCATCATTAGTTTCTATGGCAACACTGACATAGCAAGTGACGCAAGTGAGATAGAGAGAGAGATAGGTGAATGGGTTGAGGGAGAAGAAGGGGCTGTTAGCAACTGCAGTGCAGGTTGGGTAGGTGGTCGGAGGAGGTGTTACAGTGTGTGTGTGTGTGTGTGTGTGTGTGTGTGTGTGTGATGTGGTTCAGAGGCAGAAATCGGTGTTGATTCTGTAACCAGAAGAGGCACTAACATGAATGAGCAAAAGGTTCTTCCAAGAAAAGAAAAAAAACACCCTATGGAGAGCATATTATCTTCAATATGCCAGTTCGGAGCCACATAGGGTGCAGTGTCCAGAATGTGTGAGTCATTTCGCAACCCAAGGGTGTGGACCACAGAGTGAATGAAAAAATAGAGCTGTTCCTGTAAGGCGATATTAGATTAGCTGTGACAGCAAACAAATTGGCGGGGGAGGCTTGTCCTCTAAACTCAGGTAATGGAGTTTGTCAAAGGTTGTGTAAGATACAATTTGTTCTCAACCAGAGAAGTGTTCTTTGACTTTAAATCTCCTGGGAGAAGCTAACTGTGCATGCATGTTCAGCAACGCCCCGTGTCACGCTGCCACAGTGCTTACATTCACACCTGGGAGCTGCCCAGTAAAACCACTGAGCTACTCCACTGGAGCAGCTGGTTGGGAGTTAAAGGTTCATTTGTGGTCTGTCGCAACTGTTCTTAGTGATTGAGGGGAGGTTGTTGTCTATTCCACTCATAAGACAGCTTTCCTAGCCTTTAATCTGTGAATGCAGTGCAGATGTTTGGTTTTCAGTTTCAGCACACAGGTGGCTTGAATTACATTCTTTTGCATTAAAACAAAAGTATTGAAAGAATCTGTTTTCATTCTCTCCTGCCCGCTTTCCAAAACTGTCTTGTGGTGCAAGGTGAAGAACTACAAAGTATTGAGTACTCTTTTGTCCATTTTATTTTCACTTCTAAATGTTGATTTAAAACGTATTAGTATAGGATAAAGTGCTTTGTGGGTTATGCATTCCCAAACAGTAGATGGCAGTATGATCCATCCAGATTTGGTGTGTCATTTCCTTTCAGCTCTGGGCCAGAAGAAGTCAGACGGCGGTAAGCATAGACAATCCTGTCATTATTGATTGGGATATTTGATCCCCTTATTATAAACCTATGACAATTCTTGTCACAACATCGTGGATAATGGCCAATAAGAAGAAAGTAATTGTAACAGGTGAGAGGTTTTGATTGGTCAGAGGAGTAGGGAGAGACAAATGTGTCTTACATGATTTCTTTATTGTCACTACTGCTCTGTTATGGTAACAGCTCATAGTTTCCTGCTTGTGTCTGGGCTTGTTAAAATGATTTAATGGCTGTGTTTGTATTATAAATATTTAATGACACTGCTAATTAATGCTCTGCAGAGAATAACGTTCATGTCAGGAGAGAAGGGCTTTGTCTGCTGGTTTAGATAAGGAAACAAAGATATGCAGCAGGAGAAGACTGAAACTCCTTAGCAGCTCAACTGTGTGTCACGCGCTGTTGCTACAATTAATGTTTAGCTTGATGCAACCTTTAGACTCCTTTTTTACATTCACCCTTATCCCTTCTGTCCATGACAGATAAGCAACCTCGCTCAGTTTTTTTTTATTAACTTTGCTGCATTGTGTGTCATTGCTGCAGTGAAGAGTCCTGGTTGACAATTTTTGACACTCTTTTCTCTGCAGGTTTTGAGCCTTTTGGGGAACATGCAGTGAACTCCAGCTGGGTGGCAGTACAGGTAACTAAGTAATGCTGTTTTTTGTCCATTTTTGACAAAGGTGCAAGTTAGGGACTTTGGTGTAAGGTGTTTTGGTGTTACCTAAATTCGGCAGTTAAACAGGAAATTGCAATTTATGAGTAGATTTTTTTTGTGGGGAGTCACCTGACTAAGGGGTTGTCATTTAATTTCATTATTTATCGTTGGACTGTAAAGTTCTTTCAAACCGCAACTGCAGTTAAGCTCTATATATAAACTCAGCAACTGTTTTTTATGCTTTTTCAATGAACCATAAACAATCAATGAACATGCACATGTGGAATGGTCGTTGATACACTAACAGCATACAGACATAGGTAATTAAGGTCACAGTTACAAAAACTTAAAACACTAAGGACACCTTTCTACTGACTCTGAAAAACACCAAAAGAAAGATGCACAGGGTCCCTGCTCAGCTGTGTGCCTGTTGCCAGAGCAATAGATCTGTACTGTGATGTGCCTAAGAAGGCACTAAAGGGGTGCAGGAAGGACAGCTAATCATTCTCACAGTGGCAACCCCTGCACAGAACCTCAGGTCCACACAAGATACCTAATGTTACTTTTTATTTTAAGCCCCCTTTTGTTCAGGGACAAATTTTTCCATATGTGTTTCTCACATGCCTGTGAAACTTTGTTCACTTTATGTCTTAGTGAGATCATTCGCTCTCACGGCTTCTCTTACCACTGCTATGCAGACAATACGCAACTCTACCTATCGTTCCCGCCAGACGACCCCACCGTCTTGGCGCGGATCACGGACTGTCTCTCGGACATATCTGCATGGATGAAGGCTTGCTAATGAAGGCTCTATCCACCATAACATCAAACTACAAATCGACTCCTCAACCATCACTCCAACCAGGGTGGTGAGAAAATTGGGTGCCATGATTGATGACCAGCTGTCCTTTTCAGAACATGTTGCTGCTGTCTCTCGGTCATGCCGCTTTGCTCTATACAACATAAGGAAAATCAGGCCCTACCTCACTCAGTATGCCACCCAGCTTTTGGTACAGGCCATGGTTATGTCTCGCCTCGACTATTGCAATGCCCTCCTAGCAGGTCTTCCAGCTTGTGCGGTGAAACCCTTACAAATGGTTCAGAACGCAGCAGCGCGTCTGGTTTTTGATCAGCCCAAAAAGACTCATGTCACTCCATTACTGTGTGACCTCCACTGGCTCCCCGTGGCCTCCAGAATCAGATTCAAGTCACTAGTGCTTACAGAGTGACTACTGGGTCTGCACCCATCTACCTAAACTCCATAATACAAACTTCCGTTCCTTCTTGGCCACTACACTGCTCTGCTATCCCCTCACACAAAGCAATCCCAGTCTTGGCTGCTCTCATCTGTGACACCACGATGGTGGAACGAGCTACCACCATCAGAGCAGGGGCATCCCTCTCTAACTTCAAGAAACTCTTGAAAACTCATCTCTTCCGAGAACACTTCCTCTTATAACACCTCTAACTCCAAGCCTCTAACATGCACTTCCTGTGCTCTTCTTCTTCTATCCCCCTACAATTATCTTGTATTGATTGCACATTTTTTGTTAACGCTTACTTCCTTCCCTAGGTATTTACCCCATTGATGTGATATGAACTATGAGCTGTTACTAGTATTTATTGCTGCTCTTACTAGTATGTATTGTCGGTTGTAGATCTGCATTTGATGCTCTGTTGATGCTTATATGTTGTTCCTCAAATGTAAGTCACTTTGGATAAAAGCGTCTGCCAAATGAGTAAATGTAAATGTAGTAGTTGAATTTTTTTTTATGGTCATACAAATATTAATTAATGTTAACTTTGCTGAAAATAAAAGCAGTTGTTAAAAATCAGAGGATGTTTCGTTTTTTTGCTAAGTATATATGTTTTCTGTGCTCACAGGAACTGGAACGATTGGGGCTGGGTGAAGCAGTAGACCTTCATGTGTGTGAGGTGCCTGTTGAATACCAGGCTGTTCAGATCCTACTGCCATCTTTGTGGAAAGAGCACCAGCCACAGGTATTTAAGAAAATACACTGGAGTTTACAAAAAAACAAAAATTTCCACCATACTATAGCTCCATGAAATGTCGCTAAAATGCCCCAACTAACCTCTACCACCTCTGTCTTTTGGGGTCCTGTGAGCAGTTAGTGGTCCATGTCGGTGTTTCTGGGTTAGCCACCACTGTCACTCTGGAGCAGTGCGGCCACAACAAGGGTTACAAACGCCTGGACAACTGCAGCTTCTGCCCAGCTTCCCAGTGTTGCATGGAGAATGGCCCCGACTGCATACTCTCAGTCCTGGACATGGATACAGTCTGCAAAAGGGTCAATGACTCTGGCCTCGGGGTCACTCTTTCTGTATCTAAGGATGCTGGGAGGTGAGTGATGTTATTTACACATACGGGAAACTTCACACATGCGCACACCCTATAGGAAAAGCACATCTGCTTTTCCTACTGTGACATGTCAGAATGTCTTCTATGAAAAAGGCCTATTTGACCTCCTTTGATTTTATAATGGAATACAAAAAGGAAATACAATAACAATACTATACTGTAGCCTGTGTCTGATTTTATTATTATATTATTGTATGAGTAAGCACATCGAGAGCATTGTAAAATCCTGTGTCAATTTTCTCGTATGTATACACATACATGGCAAATAAAGCTGATTCTGATAAATAAATAGTAAATAGATCAAGTCTGTTTATGATTAGCAGTGAGAAATCACATAATTAATAGTAACAAGTCATTTATCAGTTATTACCACTGATTATATTGCAGTAAATGACAACATAATTCTCTACAATCCGCCAACTAAACATTGGATAGCTTCCTTTTTCATGCCTGTTCTGAATAAGGCCACAAGACATTTAGAAGTTTGGTTTTACATGGACAAAATATATAGAGGTCTGATTTTTTTATATTAATGCAAGTATTGTCTGCTGTATTTTAGTCTGTGGAATTTGGTTTAAGTAAAATTTCTGTCAACATCTTCCACTCTTCCGCTACACTTACCAGTAGACAAAATATTTCTCTCTTTGACATTGAATTATTGCATTTATGCACCATAATTAAGATTGTTTTATGACCAAACTCAATCAGCCAGGGGCACCTACTGTTTTGCAAAGTATAAATGTGACTTTACATAACGTAACATCCATCCTTTGGCTCCCTGGCAGGTATCTGTGTGACTACACCTATTACACCTCTCTGCATCTGGGACAGGGTCGCTCTGCCTTCATCCATGTGCCTCCGCTAGGAAAACCCTACAGCAGCCAGGACCTGGGTAGAGCTCTTCAGGCTGTCATCCAGGAGATGCTGAAACTCCTCGAACTGGATCACAAACACAACGAGCACTGCAGTCACAAGCATGTACAGCAGCACAACCACTAATGACTGACTCCTAACTCGAGGAGACATGTGGAATAAATTCACCAAAATGGGTCGCTGACTTTAGTACGAGGTTAAATCAATGTGACTCCTGAGGCAAGTGAAAGAATAATTGATTTAGTTGCTCAAAAGATTTTAAAAACCTGTGACTAACAGTGCAGGTAGTGATGACTCAACCGTTAGCTCCAGAAATGAACGCCAATGTCAAGAACAGGAACGCTGAAGTCTGAGTTTGAAGTTTTTAAATGTAATATCAGATCCAATTGTAAGCCATGTGTTGTATCTTAAAAATATTGAACCTTTTAGAAGTTTAAAAACAACACCCTGACTACAACATTTGTTTATTTTAGACCTGGTCTAGATCTTTGCATGTGTGGATTTGAATGTGTGTGCAGCAGTAGTGGGCGTCTGTGAGTCTTACAGTAATTGTGTCCTTCTACAATTCTGCCTTTGATCTTCCATGAAGACTGTGATAATAGATGTCAATTCAACAAGTACGGTTGTATTTACATTGTGTCATGTGAAAAGGGGGATTGATGTGATTATGTTAACTTATTATCAGTAATACTAACAAGGTAGTAGCTGCAGGTCATGTGTTGTGACACACTGTGGGAATGTTTACAGACATGCTAAATTTTTAAGCCATAGGCTTCCCCTCACACCTGTGAGTCTGTCCTCACTGTTTTGAAGTCTTCTTGGTACGATTTGGTTGTTGTCTTGGCATCACGCTGTCATTCCCATGTGTTGCTCGTATTTGCACCAGAGAAATGTGATGACTTTGAAATGACGTAAACCTGAACAAATTTAAAGATTTGAATTTACAATGATTTGTTAATCTCAGGGAATATATTGCACATGCAATAAATATGAAGTAATGTGATTAACTGAATGTGTCTGTCCTATGTGAGTAGTACAGCTGGCAAAGCTGTGTATAATTAAAACACAGGCTTATAGTTTTTTTTTAATTGTCAGTCTTCAGTCAGGCGAGAAACGCATTGCGGCAGTTTATGCGCTTGTCACTTACATGACAAGTTGATGTTCCAACACGAAAAGCGTATTAGCTATGCTTCTTATTACCTTTATGACTTTAAAGTTTTTTTTCAATCTCCTGTGGTATAAATATTTTGACCCATAGTAGCAACACAATAATGTAACTTTTTTTTACGGGTGATTCTATTGTTAACATTGCCAAATGGGTTAAGAATTCACATGATTACTATTCACTATTTTACAAAATGTGTTTAAACTACATATCTGTGAAGCAGCAATAGTTTTTAATTGTTATAATGATGGGTGCAGTATCATTTACACTCTGAATGCATTATTTAGCATGAAAATTCCCTCTAGGAAGCAATAACATAAAAGTGCTATAATTTTTTAAGCTTTTAAAGAATTCTTTGAAGGGTTGAAATGAATGAATGAGTGAATAATCCTAAAAGACACTTCTTCGACCTTTCTAATGTCCATATTTTCAATAGACATGCAAATGTTATAATTTTACTTTATGTAGTAATCTCACAAGTCAGCTTTTATCCTGCCAGAGCATTTAATGATTTGTGATCACGGAGGGACCTAGATAGTGAACACTGTGTACTTTGAGACTCACATTTGAAATGTTTGTATCCCCTTTTTAATATGTCTGAAGGTTTCTCACCAAATATGCCACTTGAAAAGGTATTTGGTGGCCCGGTAGACCAATAAAGGCTCGATAAATACCTAAAAAGGCATAGCTGGGCAAGGCAAAAACACTCACAAGATTATGGTGTGAAAGATGGGAAGACTGATAATTTCCAAACACTCTGAGAATCTTTCTTACGTAACCTGCTTGTAACCTGTTTAAGAAACTATCCACTGCCTTGTGATGTGTAGAATTCCAATTAATTCTTTAATACTTTCAGATTCCTTTGACTCTGAGCGAGTTATGGTAAGTAGTACATCATGGTTTGATAGACCTGCTAAACAAGAAAGGATCATGCTTTTACCTGAACATTTAAAATGTATTAATATCTGCTTGACTCAATATTAAGGACTGTATTTATTTAATGTCTCAATATAACTGGTTGGAAACTCTCATGCCAATGCACATTCACTCCTACTCTTTGGCACAGGACCTCTCTTAACCTAGGAAAGTACTGGGATTTAGGATTTCATCAGAGCTGTCTTAACCTGTTAGGAGCTCTGGGCAGAAGGGAAACGAGGACAATGTAACACTTGTGGACATAAAAGAAAACTTTTAATTTAAAATAACAATGATTGTCAAAGTTACTGACTGAAGTGAAGCGTCATAATCTAAAAACTAGCCTAAACTATGTTGTCATATATTGAATTTATACATTTACAAGGTGAATAACTCTGGATCATTTACAGTTCCTTAATCACTGAGCATTGTTGCTGTCAAATAAACTAATTAAAGAATTGAAAATAAAATATCAAAAAAGGTGTATATGCTACATATCTCTTTGACTCAGCTCCCACATTTGTTGCATCTTCATTTCTTAATGGTTAGAAAAATTTGTACCGAAAAGAGTATTCCTTTAAGATTTGCCCTTGATGCATATTAAGCATGTTATTAATAGAGAGCTTTTATGACCAAATCAACTGTCCCACATTTCATTTTGTTCACACAGGCCTATGTTTCCTTCCCTTCCCTCGCTTCCTGCAGGTGACTTCCTGTAGGAGAGAAGTGGTAGTGAGGTAGCAGAGGAAACGAGCGGGGGAGAAGACAAACGGAATGCAGCCATAGTCGAGGATCTTTCTATCTCTCTCCCACCACCAGTGTTTGTCATTTTCTCATCAATACTCTGTCTCCGTTATTCGGTTTCTACTGGAAGAGCAACAGTTTGCGGAGTTTTCGTCGGGACGGGTTAAATACCGGTAATAAGAAGGCAAAAACATGAGTGTCGAGGCGTACGGGCCGAGCTCGCAGACTCTGACGTTCCTCGACACGGAGGAAGCCGAGCTGCTGGGAGCGGACACCCAGGGCTCCGAGTACGACTTCACCGATTTTACCCTGCCGAGCCAGACCCAAGGCCAGACCCAGAGTCAGCTAGACAGCCAGGTGCGTGTGGTTATTCGTGGCAGCTCGGTGTCAAAATATGTCCTCTACTGTGTAGACAAAATGTGAATCAGCCAGTTATCGGCAGCTAACAACATCGCTGACCACCTCCGGTTAGCAGGAATGACGCTTCCATCCGTTACCATGCTTTTATCCCGCAAATATGGGCTAGCATGCTAACGAACTAGCTTTCACAGTTAGCTAGCTGACACAGCTAGCATGTTAGTGCAGGGCTGTATTGCCATACAAACCAAGAGTGCAATGGATTTTTCCAGTGTGGCCAAAAATGCCCATGTTTATATAACGTTATAAATATTAGCACTTGAATGTCCCAACGTTAAATACTTACGGTATGCATACCGTACATACACCACGTTAGATACAGTCAGTGTGATATTGCTGTCAACAGACCGTTTATTGATGTGACAGTAATATATAATCATTGAAGGCTTTATGTATCTCGTTGGCTGTCCAGTTTTTTTCCAAATCGATTCACTGTCTGTGTTCCTTCAATGTTAATTTATCTCACATAATGTTGACATTAACTGACAGTTCTTAGTTCTGGTTCCTTACACCTGTCTCCTCAGGTTAATGGCCCTGACAGCGTGCTGCAGAATGGAGACGACCCTGTGGTAAAAGCCAGTCAGTTGCTGGCAGAGTTGAACTTTGAGGAGGATGAGGAGGACACCTACTACACCAAGGATCTTCCTGTACACGCCTGCAGGTAAAGAACCAGACTAATGTGACTTGTGCCACTTTTCAAATGCCATGACTTCAAAAAAAGAAATCACAGCCACAGACAGAACATATCTATACTCAATGTGCAGGTTTCTGTTCATCTTGCCTGCCTAACTTCAGTGGTTTACTGTCCCTAGTGGGGAACACACTTCTCTACAGCTACTCACTCTACAGATGGCACATAAGCCAAATTGTCAGAACATCTTGTATCATGTCCAGTGTCAACAGTGGTTAATCAGTATTATTGTTACATCATGCTAAGCATGCTAACTAACACTTTGGCTGTCTGCCATTAGTTTGGCTGTGTCTCAACTCCAGTTGAGTATCTCTGACATCCCAGATATTCTCAGTTGCTTATCTTGGTAAGATAACCACTCGGTTTGTTTCTCTAAAAATGTATGTATGTTTTTAATACTTTTTGCTGAAAATTGGGTTTGGAAACAAAGTTTGTTGGATAGAGAATGAGGGCCTTAATTTAACAGATATGCCCCCTCCATTCCAGTATTGTATAAACTTTGATGCCCATCAGCAACATAAAGTTTGATTTGGGGTTTAGGCATGCAGCTAGATTATCCATCAGTCCATCAATGGGACAGCTATAAATGCAATAAGATGGGACTGCCACCTCACTGTCATTTTAGTTGCATTAGTAAAACAGAGATCCTGTGGTATAATCCTAAAGACAATTTATGACAAGTTATGTTTTCTTGTTTCAGTCTCTAATATTAGATTTTAAACAGACTCAAGGTCTTAAGAGTAATGTTGTGTAATCTTTTTTAGTTACTGTGGGATTCATGATCCAGCCTGTGTGGTCTACTGCAACACCAGCAAGAAGTGGTTTTGTAATGGCCGTGGAAACACATCAGGCAGGTAATATACAGTGACTCATCAGCTTTTGATTGACCTCCCCATCCGTTGGTGTACTTTGCTAAATGAACTAGGAGAGAATCATGTTACAGGTTCAGTATCATCATAGCGGGAGCATAATACACTGTAATAATGAATCTTTGTTGTGTTCAGAAGCTGTTGGGTTATGGAGTTAAAAACATACTTTTAAAGAATTATGTTTACTGACACACCTATCACTTTGTATTTCTTTGGTCATCGGTTTAAATAATTTCTCCTCCAATAAAATAAGAATACACCCTCACCTTATACACTTTGCATTTCCTCCTCCTGGTGTATTAATTGTCATTCTCTTCACGTTCAGCCACATTGTAAACCACCTGGTGAGAGCAAAGTCCAAGGAGGTGACCCTGCATAAAGATGGCCCTCTGGGGGAAACAGTACTGGAGTGCTACAACTGTGGCTGCCGCAATGTCTTCCTTCTCGGCTTCATCCCTGCTAAAGCCGACTCAGTAGTGGTGTTACTGTGCAGGTAATGGCGCTTTAATGTAGCTGACCTAATGTGCATTCTGACCTTCCTGCTGATGAGGGCAATTAGATGAAATGGTATGAAAATTTCATATCACGATTATAGTGATCAAAATGATCAAGGTTATCGGTATTATCATGGTATTGTTAAAATGTGAAACATTTGAAACATATGAAAACCATATCAAATGTGCATTATATTAAATATGTTTTGTAATTATATATTAGTATATTAGTAAATGCAGTGACCCCATGCACAATTTACATAAATACAAATAAGTCTCGGATAGAGTCTGCAGGCACATGACGGGTACAACAGCAGAACAAGGTGTATTGTTTTTACAAGAGCAGCTAACACTGAGAACTTTACAGGCTGTTAGCAGTCAGACAGACAAACAAAAGCCAAAAGTAAACTTATCCTGCATTTGCTACAAGGCAATTTTCTTTGATCAAGTTTCCCTCAGCACAAACCAAAATACGACCAGACTTCAGACAGGCTGAAAAATCTCTACAGCACTGTCTTCCGCCATGTCAATGAATCCAAACAAACCCATGTTGCATGCTGCGCACGCACGCCTTCGTCTGGGAGACTGTTGCTAACTTTGGTTGATGCTGGACAGTATGTACTGTGAGTTTTTTCAAACCGTGGTTATCATGATAAATAAAATGTGACTGGAAAGACTGTCAGGAATTTTACCATGGTTTATTATTAGACTG